AGGTTCCCACGAAGAGACGTTCGTTTTTATTCATGTCCATAGAGGATTGGTGGAACTTCTTGAATAGTTCAGGAAAGGTTGATCCCCAATTGGTTTCACTCAATTATTCGTTTAAGAAACCAATATCTCCTTGCGCTGTTCTCGCCATTTTCTGGAAAGAATGATCCCCGGAAGAGTGGGGCACAGCTACTGTGGATCTGTGGATGGACAAGACCTTGTACTTGGGGCATAGGTGTCCTTTTTGGCTGTTTTGCTAGAAAAATGGATGGCGATTCCTGGTTTACCTGGTTTAATCATCTACCAGGGCCATCTATTTTCCCTAGAAGGACAGCGGGTGGATGAACTACCGACTGCTGCCGGGTTTTGCCCGTGTAGCCGGGATGTTTTGGCCGAATTTGGCCTCTTCCTGGAAAGCCGCCCGATTTCGCGCAGGCACTTAGCCGGCAGCCCAGCTCTGCTCCGGCGTCACGAGGAAGTTTGTGGGTTCAAAATCAGTCCTTAACGCCTCGCATCCGTATGGGCGTATCGTTTTTGGAGAGGACCTCCCCCCCAAGAAAAGAGGCTTCGTTTTTGTTTTTGGTTTCCCTCTGACACCACAAGCAAGGGGGACCCTCAAGAAACGACCCCGAAATCCTGAAGGGGCCAATTAACCCAACAGGATCTGCGTCAAATGTAGCCCTCGTGCCCGGATTTGGATCTGGGATCTGCAGGGTTTTTGGGCCACACTCGACTCGGCTCCGAAGGCCCGATTTGCTAAGGAACCATCGGAAAAGCCAAAGCTTCCTGGTTTTCCAAAGTGGCAAGCGCCTGGTCCCGGCTGATGCTTGATTCCCGAGCCGTGAAGTCTCGTTTGCCCAGAAGAAGACATACTTGCTTGCTTGCCATAAGACCGGTACCCCAAAGCAATGTTTGGTAGAGCGAGTGAGCACGGGACTGGGTTCGCTGGCTTTTGGACCCAAGGATACACTTGTGCTCAAAAAGTCAGCCTTACCATCTGCTGTGGGTCAAAACCAATGGGATCCCATTTTGGGGTAGGTGAATTCACCACCCATTTTAGAACCTATTGTAGTGGTTGGATTGGTTGATATTCACTGGGGGCTAATCGATTTGGATTTTGCCCCATGGCCATATGAACATCAATATGTATTTCCAAGCAGGTGATCCCTGGGTTTTGGAAGCCCCCCTCTGTTATTCCTCCTTTTGAAGAGATTCCGGAATCAGAAATTCCCAGAGGTGATCTCCGCCGAAAAAAAATCTGCCCGAGGTGCTGGCTCGCAGGAATTTGGCGATCGCATGGATCTGGGAGTTGGTTGTCCTCAGAAGGCGGTTCGACATTGAACTGCTCAGTCCATGAGAAAGTTGTAAAAAAAGCACCTAAGAAGTTGGAATGATTGTAGAATTTGCAGACTTTATACGTTGGAAGACCATTCCAGTGGCAACCGAACAGTTTGAGCTCTGTTTTGTCCACTCAGGAAGTCAGAATCGGAAGTGTGCCCTGCAAACACCGAGCTCTGGGTGCAAAATGCGGAGTTGACTCGTGATGCAAGTACCTTACTGTGGGGATTCCTCGTTTCCAATACTCCTCCTAGACCATTTCAGATTTAGGGTAGTGGTCCCATCCAGCCAATAAAAATCACATGGGGTTCCTTTGCTTTCCCTCCGGGTCCCAAACAAAGGGACACGGGCTTCAGTTTGCTCAAGTTCACGCCTGCAGCAGTTTGCAAGGAGATAGCTTTGAAGCGAAAGGAGCATATGATACTTCAACTGGGGCCCGAGTTCAGAAAGACTGCTGGCTTTGCTTCGACCAAAAGTTGTGCAAGGTGTTCATGCCAAGACCAGTGCTGTTCAACGCTGATCTGCTTCACCTTGGGCTTGCTCGTTTTGCTCAGGGAGAGAAGAGCTGCTAAGGTGCTGCGGCACGCCAATTTGCTTTGGAACATCCCTACGGCTTGGAAAGGGCACTGGTTGCAGTCGGTGCATGGAAACAAGTGCAGCGCTTGTTGGCTTGAGGTCTTGCAATGCTGAAATGCATGAGGTCTGTCAGAATTTGCCTGGAATGCACGGGACTTATGGGGGATGGTCCCAAATTAAAACTTGTCTTGGCTACTCTTCCATGTGTTTTTTGTGAGGCTTTTACGCTGACCGCACATTACGAGGAAATTACGGATTATTTGAAGTAGCTCGCTTTGAGCAGAACTGGTCCGTCGCTCACCGCTGTGCGTGAGTCAACCAGTCAACTGTTGAATTTCTGATCTGGCACCGGCCTTCAAGACAGACGACCTCCCGGATGGTCTCACTGTTTCACATGCTGACGCTGGAATAGAGCCTCTGCCTGAGCAGAAGCATCACATGCATTTTTGTCCGGCCCGTCAAAGGGGGAGCCGTACTGAAGGTTTCGCCACGTGTGGACTCATAACTCCATGCTTTGTAATTCTTGCCTTCCATTTGCTTAGAATCTGATATATTTTTCCCTTTTGATTTTAACGGGAATCTATCGCTACTGGACATATTTATTTTTCCCAGTGGACTTAAGCAAATGGATGTTGTGGTTTCGTGTTTAAGCCACACTCGCCAGCTGACATTCCAAACATTTCCCAACGATTTGGTTCGGGAGGGGTTCTTCATCAAAAGACCTCCAAACTGGGATCCCTCTTGAAGTCATTTTACCTTTTTGGGTTCAACAACTATGGATCATAATTAAAGCCATGTTTCTTTTGATGTTATTTGTTTTGTTATTTTATGTTTTTGTTCTTCTTTTTTTTGGAGGGGGAGGCAGTAGCTAAGAGTAGTTTGCGGTCCATGGGTTTTTCTGCTGGAATCAAGTAGGCCATTTCAGTGGCTGTTTGCGGATAAATATCAAGCCCTGCGGGCCCTCACAGACCCCCCAGCTGGCGGGCACGGGGGAAAAATGGAGCGCAGCGATAACGCCCGATTCCGTGTCTCAGTGCCGAGAAGAAGCGACGTGCGACGCAGCCGGTCGGGGTGAAGGGGGGGGGGTTCAATATGGGTTCGAGTAAAGGTCCCTTTTTCGTGCTCATGTTTTCCTTGTTGGTCCTTCTACCACTTGACTCTTCACATGTTCCCATGTGTCCCTTGTCTTGGTTCTTGTAGTTGCATGGTTGGTCACTCTTGGTCCTTAGACTTGCCTTTCTGGCCCCCATATTTTTCTTGTTGGTTCTCACATTGTTCCCTTTTGTTCCCCAACTTCCTTGTACGTTAATTGTCTTGTTTATTATTATATGTTCTTCTTTTGACGATCGTATTTTATTTTGTGGTGTTTATATTTCCATGTTGGGGTCCTTACGCTTCCCTTGGTGCTCCTGGTATTTCTTTTGTTTGGTTCGTATATTCCCCTTGTTGGTCCTCACACTTCCTCTTTTTTTTAAAGGACCTTCTGCGTTTCTGTTGGTTCTGAATTGTCCTTTTGGGTTCGTCTATTTCCCTCTGAGGTCCTTATATGTTTCATGTTGGTTCTCACAATTGCCCTTTGTGGTTCTTTTTTACTTTTTGCTCCTTACATTATCCCTTTTGGCACTATGGTTAATTTTCATGTTTGATCCTTGTGCTTGCCTTGCTGGTCCTTGTGTTGTCCATTTCGTTTCTCACAATTTCGCATGTCTTGGGCTGATTGAGACATCACTTTGCTGGCCATTTTAAAGTGTATTGTGTTCTGGCTGGCTGATGTTTAAGAAGGACGAAGCCCGACCACAGGGCGCCGGAACAAGCAGGTGGTTTCCCACTAGTTTTCGCACCAAGACGGTTTACCCTCCAAACAAAAGCAATATGGCATAGAGTTTGGCTCAAAATAAAACAGGAGTGGTTACGCAGGTTTTGGTCCTGGTCCATGTTTCCACTTGCCAGGGTTCCATTTCGGTACCTTGCTGCCTCACACCTTTTGGACACCGTCGCATTTTGTTTCGGGGGTCCATGTTGAAAGTTCCACCACGCAAACTCATGTGAAAACGGGTGCACCTCACCCACGCATCTTACTTTCTAGGAACGAGCCTCAGGGAGGTGGGCAGCCGTTCTTCTAAGAGATTCTCCGATGAGCTTCCATTGCCCCGATTCTCTGAACTGTGCGGCATGTGAGACCTGCGAGCTCGTGGAGATCGCGACATGCGATTTGGGTCCTTTCGAACAGAGGGATCCCGCACCAAGGAGTTTCCAGAGGGACTGCAAAGGAATAGCGAAAGAGTAGAACCTCAACACATTCTCCCCCAAAGAAACAAAACACAAAAACCAAGAAATGAGAGGTTGCATCCAGGCAGCAACATGCCAAAAAAAGAGCTAAAAACAGAAACTGGCCACGTGATGTTTTGTGCCTGCACGTGCGGGCACACACGCACACATCGGGACATGCAACTACTTTGACCTTGCTTGCGTACTTATTTCTTGCCCCTGTGGCAAAGAAGCCTACGTAATGTTAGCCTCGGATTAGTCTGAAGGACCACAGCGATCCAAGGAATCCCACAAACGTCACATTATTGACAACCAAAACGGGAGCCGCCGCTGATTGTAATTTGGTCCGAAGTTATCTAGCAGCCAGGTTCGCTCGACTGACATGGCAAGCATGGCGCGATGTGCCTGTCACCTTGAAGCGTTTGACATCAAGCGGTCCAGACACAGCAGGGGTTGAAGATGCCAAGGACCAGGTTGATATGTTCTTTCCATGACGGGGGGGTAAGCCCAGCTCAAAGTTCAAAAGCGCGTGAACCCTTTCGGGCCCGGTCTAAGGCGACTTGTGTTTCCTTACGAGGGCGGAATGAACACTCCCCATTCAATCTGTGAACAAATGCGTTAGGTCCGGCTGTCTGGTCACCGGAGTCTTGTCACTGGTCTTGATATCTTGTATTGATGGTCACTGGTTTTGAAGATCCTGCTGGCACCAGGTGCAACAGGATCTGCGAAAAGGAATTCCGTGCACCCTTGAGGGCGTACCCTGGCGTTGCGCCCAAATTGATTTCCCCTTGCACCTCATTTCAGAACACCCCAAGTGGAATTGACGATTTCGCTTCTCTCGACCATGGAGCCCTCACTGCCTTTGGCGCCTTTGGCGCCTTGGGCGCCTGTGGCGCCTCCGTCCCTCAGCCGCAGCCGGCCGCAGCCGCAGCACGTCTCGGGGGTTGACTGCATCGTGGCTGCCGCCAGTCTGACGGCAGCCGTGGCATGTGACGCTGGCCTGCCATTGGGTAAGGCGAGGATGCGGAAGCCCAGTGACATCCCTTTTGAATTGCCAACTTTTTTGGTTCGAGAAAGATGGAATGCAGGTTACTGCCTGTAAAGTTTCGTGAGAGCAGTTTCGATTTCTTCTTTCACTTGAGGCGTCTATCTTTCTACTATCTTCTTGACCTCAATTGGTTTCTAAGTCAAGTGCCCCACCCCCCATTCGAATGATTTAGGCCCTTATGGTCTTTTAAGCTCCTTGCTCGTAGCATTATTTGTGCACTTGGAGATTGCAGCAAGACTTGAACCTTTGACCAACCACACTCCTTGTTTCGAAAGGTGGTTCTATTTGAGGTACCAGTTGTTGTTTGCCCTTGCAGCAACAGATCCTGTGCGTGGATGTTTGTGGGATCATAACCAAGCAATGGAAGAACAGTGCAACAAGACTGCCGTCACTTTGTGTTCACCATGCTTTGTCCCTCTAGTTTAAAAGAAATGGGGGTCCTCAAAGACTTAGGGGTTTCTACACTGCTTGTGGTCCTCTCTACTTTTTGCGGCTCATCTTCTTGGTTTCGTTGCAACGGAAAGCTCTAGTGGTTGATTCCCCGTTCTTTTCAGCGATCGTTATTTTCAAAAACCGATCGCCATTTCTTCAGGTTTTTGGGCGGTTTTCTAGAAAGATTCGGGTCCCTGGAACGAATGGAAATGGAAGTTACCCCTAGATTGCTGGTGCGATAGGCAGGGAATGAGGGAATGACCCCTGTAAACCATCCAACTGGTGGTTTCCTAGGGGGACCCCTAGAAAAGCACCCCCCCCCCCCAAGGGTGAGGCAACTTGGAAGCGCCGTGTGGCCTTGGACTTGCGCCAGGCCCCGGCAAAAGCCGAGGCCGGCGGAAAAGGCCGGCCCTGCGCGCGGAGTCGCGCACGAGGCACGGAATGGGCGCTGGAAGTGGCGCTGGAATCCATGTGTTTGGGTCCCGAAAGGTCCGGGGAGGCTGAGCTTTGCGTTGTTAAGTTTCAAGGTTCCATGTTGGTGTTGATGTGTTCATGGGGTGGGGTGGGGTGGGGTGGGGTGGGGTGGGGTGGGGTGTTGGAGCCCCTTCCTACTTGGCGTTTGTTTGCAGGACTGCTGAGAAGCTGAACGCGGCTTCACACCTTGGTGGAGCCAACAAGTTACTGGGTGAAAGGGGCGCTACTACTGTGGGTGCATCTCAAAGTGTGACCCGCACCATGATAAAGGTAACATACCCATGTGTTGCGGCGCCCGTTTCAGTTTTGTTTGACGTTGTTTGTTTGCTGTTGTTTGTTTGCTTGTTTTCTTTCTTCCCTGCTTCCTTGCTTCCTTGCTTCTGTATGGTATTTTAAGCTTGCTTGCTTGCTTGCTTGCTCCTTGCCTGCCTGCCAGCTTGCTTGCTTCGGTTTGTTTTTTGGTTCATTGGTTGGTTGGTTGGCTGGCTGGCCGGCTGGTTGGCTGGCTGGCCGGCTGGCTGGCTGGTTGGTTGGTTGGTTGGATGGTTGGTTGGTTGGGTGGCTGATTGCTTGCTGCTTCTTTTTTTCCATTATGTTTTTTTGTTTTTTTCGCGTTTCTTCTCTTTTTTTAAAAAAATAAAATAAAATATTTTTCGGTTTGGTTTGTTGGTTCGGTTGTGTTGGTTGTGTATGCGTTTCTGTTTTTGGTTTGGCTGTTTGCATGCAATATTGTTTTCTTGCTTGCTTGCTTGCTTGCTTGCTTGCTTGCTTGCTTGCTTGCTTGCTTGCTTGCTTGCTTGCTTGCTTGCTTGCTTGCTTGCTTGTGTTTGTTTGCTTGCTTGCTTGCTTGTTTGTTTGTCCGTTCGCCTGGCTGCTCTGCTCTGCCTGCCCGCCCTCCCGCCCGCCAGCCCGCTTAGTTTTTTGGGTTTGTTTGTGTGATTGTTTATTTTGTTTCTTTGTTTGGTTGTCTGTTTGTTTGTTGTTTGTTTGTTTGTTTGTTTGTTTGTTTGTTGTTTGTTTGTTTGTCTGTTTGTTTGTTTGTTTGTTTGTTTGTTTGTTTGTTGTTTGTTTGTCTGTTTGTTTGTTTGTTTGTGTGCTTGTTTGTTTGTTTGTTTGTTTGTTTGTTTGTTTGTTTGTTTGTTTGTTTGTTTGTTTGTTTGTTTGTTTGTTTGTTTGTTTGTTGTTTGTCTGTCTGTCTGTTTGTTTGTTTGTTTGTTTGTTTGTGTGCTTGTTTGTTTGTTTGTTTGTTTGTTTGTTTGATTGATTGTTTGATTGTTTGTTTGTTTGTTTGTTTGTTTGTTTGTTTGTTTGTTTGTTTGCTTTTTGTTGGTTGTCCGTGTGTTTGTTTGATTGATTGTCTGTTTGTTTGTTTGCTTGATTGTTTGTTTGTTTGTTTGTACGATTGTTTTTTCATGTTTGGTTTGGTTATTTCTCTGATTTTGCGTTGGACTTGTTGCTTTAAGGTGCTTGCTTTCTGGCTTTGAAGGGCACGGTGATGATCTGAATAATGTGCTGGCTGCATGTTCAGTTGTTTTTTGGTGGCACTTCAAGCGAGCCAGGGGGACCTCTTAGAACGCTGGGTGAGTCATGTTAGCGTTAAGTAGTCCCCCATGTGGGAAAGAGAGCCAACAGTGGGTTCAACTCGCTTTGACACACCAGATGCATGTATGACCCCCGGTTTAGGTTAAGCGGCACACCAAAAGGAACTAAAGACGTGGAGGGAAGCTTCCCAGGTTCTGTTTGACATGAATCGGCACATTGCGTTTGTGGGGAAAGCCACCGGCAAACAGTCGAGCACTCAATATGGGTGTGTCATGTTTTGGCGGATCCCCTTGCGAAAAAAAACAAATACATGGTGGTGTTCCTTTTCGTTCCCCACTAGAAGGCGGCCATCCTGGATTTATTACCCTGGAGCAGCGTATAGCCCTATTTAGACTACCTGACTTGAAAAACAACGCGGCCACCTAAATATGTTCCTTTTGGGACATAGGTATGACACCTCAGCTTTGGCAAAAGGACCACCAGTAGCAAACCCCTGGTTGATGAGCAGGAGGTGTCTTCGTGTCGCTTTCGAGGGGGAGCACCTACATCGATCCGATGACACGGCCAGGACGGTCAATCCTGGAACTGGCGAGTGGGTCAGTCCGGAGGACAGGGGTCTCACGCATCACGATCGCGCCGGGTTTTCGGGCTCGAGGATTGACCCCGTTTTAATCGCCGCGAAACCGAGAAGGTATTCTGTCCATGAACCTTATTTCCGGGTCTTCCCATGTAAGTGACAGAAAGGCTGAATACCTCCAAATACATTGGCATAGATATTCCATGGTCATTTGCCAGTTTCTTTGTTCCTTTGTTCCTTGGTTTCTTTTTGCCGCTTATTTCCTTGCTTCTTCATTTCTTGGCTTCTTGGCTTCTTGGCTTCTTTGTGGCTAACCCCTGGGTTTTTCTTCTACGTCTCCCGTGCTTCTTCTCTTCGGCTTATGCACCGCTGGGATGGGATCCATCCCCCCGATCGACCTGAGGACTTCCCGCGGCCCGCGGGCCTCAAGGCCACGGCCAACTACGCGGAGGCCCAGGCGGTGGGAATCGAATCTCCGGCCGCGTCGGTTACTCGGGCGGGGGGGTCACTCGGGCGGTAGACGCGGGGGTCGTGTTTTTTTTGAAAAACCACTTGATAAAACACAAAATTTGTATATTTTTTCCGAAGCGGTTTGTCCTTTGATCCAAGCACTTGGGGTTTCTCAAAGGGCTTTTGGTTGATCCAAGCACTTTGGGGTTTCTCAAAGGTAAAGTAGGGTTCAGGTTCAAGGGGTTTGTCCTTTGTCAATGCCGGAAAAAAGTGGGGTGCATTGTTCCTGTAGCGGTTTGTCCTTTGGTTTATCCAACCACTTTTGTACAAGGGAATCTGTCCAAGTGGTTTATCCTTTATGCAAGCACTTCTGAACACAATGCCCTCTTATGGGAGTCTTTGGGCCTTTTATGTTGTAAAGGGGCTAATTCCCACAGCCCTGGGTGAGAGTTATTCTTTTCAAATCAGGTAGCTTCCTTAGGTGTCCAAGTTTTTGTTTTTGTGAACAAGATGTATCATCACTGCATTGTAGAAAGAATCATCGGGCCACAAAGCTGAGAGTTGGTATGCTCATCCCTTTACCAGGGGATTGTGCCATCCACCCCAGTATAAGAATCAAGGAGGCCTCAGGTTGGAAATCAAAGGGACCTCTTTGGTGTTGCAAGGGGAGCCACAAGTTGTTGAAACCCCAAGTCCTCGGTGGGTTGCCAGACCTTCATTCCAGTTTTTGGAGGGGGGCGGGACAAAAACCAACGAAAAGGTGCCAATTCTGATTTCTCATGGCCTATTGGGGTCTGGAATGCCAAAGATAGGGGGTTGCAACCAATTCTTTCAAGGTGTGGTTTGTACGAGCACTCAAAATGGTTGTAACCAAAGGGCATCTCCAGAAAGCGCACCCAAGCCCCTTAGGTGCCCCCGAGTCTCCCGGTCTCCCGAGCCAGGCCCTGTCGGAGGAGCTGAAGAGCCATGAGGCGTGGCGAGGCGACCCGTTTAAAGGGACAGGAATCTAAGCTCTGGGGGTTGATTCCAGCCATTCTTTTGAGCAATCGTTTTTTGTTTTGTTTTTTTGTTTTTACAAAATCATGCTGTTTTTTTCCCTGAATTTCTGGTTTGTTTTTCTAGAAGGATTCTTGGAAGGAATGGGGAAGGTACCCCTGGAGAAGCATTCTGCCGGTATGTCCCATTTTGAGACGAACTCATGGGCTCCTTGTTGGGTGCCGCCCCACCATGAGTTTCTATGGAGTTGAGGGCCGAGTTGGGAGAAGCTTGAGCCAGGATTGGTGAACCCCTGCTTGATTTTGGTCGGGGGTGTCCCATTCAAGAGAAGCCTTCACTTTTTAGTACTGGGGGTCAAACAAGGATGCACAAAACAAGCCTTGGTGAAGCTTGGCGTCCACTTTGTTTCAGAAGGCGCCCCTTTTCCCTAAGCGCATGAAAGCCCAATTGGGAAACCAATTTGGAATGGGGACGGGGCTGGGGTGAACTCACACTCTGACTTCCACAAGATCCTTTCTTTGTGCCCATCAAAAAGGAATCAACCAACCAACAAAGGGTCCTCTCTCTTCCTTGCCTCCTGGTCTTCAGATGCCTCTTGGGAAGACCGAAGACCAATTTTTGCTGCCACGCAATTTAGACTGGTTTCGGCCGATCCCCTCAGGAAGTGAGTAGAGTCAGGATAGTTTGGATCCCTACCTCGGCAGTTGAATCAACACTTGCCCGGATTTGCTTTGCATTGAAAAGCCACGCCAAAGTCCACGTGCTTCAAGCTGATAATTGAGAACTGGGCTGAGCTCTGCATGCTATCACTCTAAAACGTAGTTTAGTTGCCAGTTGTTCATACTGCAGCCCATTTGAGGGCGAAAAATGCGAGTAGGAGTACACCCTTTGAGGGTCCCCTAGGAGTGGCCCGCATGTAAAATGGCCCCTCTTTCTTTTGACCCTTTCCTGTGACTCCGTTTCCCGAAAAGCCGATAAGGGCTCTTTGGTTGTTTGGAGGCACCTTGCTGATGCGATAGGCAAGGAATGAGGGAACGACCTCTGTGGTTTCCGTTAAGGCTACCCCAAAACGAGGGGGCCGGGTGGTTAGACCACGCGCGGCGCCAGCGGAGCCAGGGCCCGTCCAAGACGGTGGCGGTGATCGGCGGGGGATTGTCGGGCTTGGCCTGCGGGAAGTACCTCAGCGACGCCAAGCACCGCGCCGCCGGGGAGCCCCAGACGGTTATTTTTGTTTTTTGGGGAGAGTGTGGGGTCTGGGTTCTGGGGGGTCTATTTTGACCGGAGCTCACGAGGGACAAAGGGTCCCGATCAAAGCTCACAAGGGGGAAGCGCCCTCAAAACGACACACCCTCACCATGGGCATGTGTCAACATTGTGGAACCCCCAAAATGGTGGTTGCTTCCCTTTAAACCCAAGGTAAAAGGGTACCCTCAAAAATGCACGCACGCACGCACGCACGCACGCACGCACGCACGCACGCACGCACGCACGCACGCACGCACGCACGCACGCACGCACGCCCGCACGCACGCACGCACGCACCC